GGTTGATATGTTGTTCCATGTGGGCTTTGTTGCTTCTGAGCTAGATGGCCGCTTGTTTACCTTCAAGCTTTTAAGACCCCAGACGCTATATCTTGGTTATTTTTGACAATGTTGTCTAATTGCCCATAGTTTGAGGGGTTTTCCACATATATTTGTCACTGATCTTTTTTTTTGTAGTCAGGAGGCAAACACTTGTTTGCAATTCTCTTAAATACAGGACTTGTTTCATGTCCAGAAAGGGGTCTGTCTTCATGAACCGTCGCATGGGCACTTGGACAAAGTTCTGTTGGCTAGAACAGAATTTTGCTGCAGCACAGATGTTTCTTTTTAGGTTCACAAAGCACATTATTTTGATTGTTATTCTGCCATCTCAACAAGCTGAACAGATGACTTCTGCTGTAAGCATTAAGCTTTCATACCAACTTAATCATTTCATTTACAGAGCACCTTTTCTGAGGCTTTTAGTATTGCACCCATGTTTGAAAAATCTCTGCCCACTTTTTTTTCACCCACAGTCCTATAAAATGGATTTTGGTTTTACTGACATTCATAATGAGTGCCTTTAAGACCAGATTTGGGTTAAGGTAAGATGCAACACAGGCCAGGATGCAGCGTGGATCTTGGAATCAGATAGGTCAATCCTGGTGATTAATGTGTTTATGCTTGTGAGAACATGGTCTTTCGTTTTATTTCTTAAGGTGTTTGAGAAAATTAATTTTTGTAACTGTAGCAAAGCCTCTGTGAATGGCATAAATTAATAGCATACGGCACTCTTATTATTACTGCTGTTGAGGAATACTTGGGAGGATCCACACACAGTTTCCATTTTCAAAGTGTCTCTCATCATGTCTGGATTCCTTTATTGGCCATGTGTCCATGTCAGGGTCTAGGGGACGGAGTCCTAGCATGAGCTGGGCCCCACTCTGTAACTAGGATGGGTCCCATGACTCCTACTGGGGAGAGTCAGATCCACCACCAAACAAGAACCTAAAAATAAGTTCTCAAGAAATCAGAACAGTTAGACAACAGGAAAAGAAGATAATAGTTTATTATATATCCATTACGCCTATTGATTCATAGGACTTGAATAAGAAAATCAACTTACTGGGAATCATTTAACATATATATTCAGGGATTAGAAGCAAACATAGTAGTAAAAACATACTTGAGCTCTGTTGACATGCAATTTATTTTTTCATTCAACGAATATTGGGACATACTTGTACCAGGCACTCTGCTAGCACGGGGGGACGTAAGGGTGACCATGCGGACATGGTCCCTGCCCCTCCTGTTGGGGGAATATGAATGGGGCATAAGAGCTATTGTGAGCAAGGTGCTGTGCAGGGTGTGGTGGGAGCACCGAGAAAGGCACCTGAACCCAGGCATCTCCGACAGGACCTGAAGCATGACAGTCGCAGGGTTGGGGGACATGGGGCAGGGTTTCAGAGAGAAGTTCAGAACCCCCTCTGAGGTGGCCTTACCTTTCTAGAAAGATGGAGCCACAAGGACATCGTCCTTCACGCTGGGCTCTTGGTGAACGGCTAACACAGTTAGGGTTCCCACACTCAGCCCAAGATGAAGCGCATACAGAGACTGTGCAATGCCCAATTTCAACGAGAACTCCAAAGAAAATCTTGGAATTGATGAAAAGAATGACAGCAGGTCAGGCTTGTTGATGCATTTTATTGTGAGATGGGGAAGTCTGGTAAAAAACTAGAAAATGACCATGGTGTAACAAGGAACTTAAAAATGAAGAGTCAGGTTGGTAACTTACATACATGAATACAGGAACAAATTGGCACAAAAATGTTAAACATTGTTCCCAACACTGTTTACATATGGTTATTCTAATTTGGCTTACTAAGGAAATGAGAGTTTTATGGTTAGGCTAATCTCTTAATAAAACTGCAGAGCATCATGCTATTAGTCACACAGTGAATTTCAAAATTTAAGAGTTTTATATTAAAAACTGGGTAAAGGTAAAATGACTTGATTGTAGTTGTAAAACTAATACATTCCCATTTAAATTCTGTTCTACAGTCCAAGGCAAGTATAAATGTTAACATAACACTGTTAAATCAAATCTCAATGCAAGAGAACCAATTGCATCTCTACTTTAAATCTTATCAACTTTCCAAATTTTCATACTAAAATATATTATTGTATTAATACAAACTACAGTATTATACACTACACTGTGTAATAAATAAAGAAATATAAAAATAAGACACATAAATATAAAAGTTTTCTAAAACTAAAAGTACACATGTCAGTAAGAAGGGTATTAATACTGCCAGGTTTGAAGACACACAGTACAAAATGTTGCACAGATCTCTAAGCTAAAAGAAATAAAATAATACTGATAGGTAAAAATCAGCTATGTTGTTAATAAACTGGGTCCATAATAACTAACATTTGGAAACAGTTATGAGCCAAATAACAATGACATGTCCATGTCTGAAATGCAAATACATGGATAAAGCAGATTAGAAAATTTCCCTTTCATTTCAGTAGAGAAATTCTGAAAGTCAATTGACACAAAATGAATACTGAGGAGTTAAAGGGTGAAATGTCCCAGTGTTTCGGTTTCTCTGACAGAGTCAGTGGTTTTAACTTTTATTTTGGAATTTCGATACACAGACAAATCAACAAATGCTAGTTATTGTAGGCCACGTATTGAACAAAGGCGGGTTCCCAGCCCCCAACCCACTGCCATGGAGTCGACGCTGACTCACACTTGAGCCCATAGGACAGCGTAGAACTGCCTCACAGGCTTTCCAAGCAGACTGCTGCCATATCTTTCTCCCACGGAGCTGCTGGTGGGTTTGAACTGCCAACCTTTTGGTTCGCGGCCAAGTGCTTTAACCACTGCACCACCAGGGCTCCTATAGGTGGGGTAGAGCCTTCAAAATACTGATAAATGGCACTTAGAGCACACAGGTCTTGCTTAAGGCCAAAGGAGATAGAAAGCTTATCATATCCTTCATATTTATTACCACATACTCAAACACAATTACAAACACTGATTCCGACGACAATGTCTCAGTCCTCGCCAGGATGAACACTGTTAGTCCCTGCAATCAGAACTCAATGACAATCTTTTTGAACAAAGTTTTAAACCACATGAGTTAAGAAACGTCATCTGTTCCTCGATCTGCTGCTTTCTTAAGGCTAACAATGCACTTCAAGCGATAATATGCTCTCCATTATGACAACTAAATAGTAGAAAGTACTACCTCCTAGACGGAATTTATAAAAGGTAGCTAGCACGGTCTGGAACTGCATTATACTTCTCTGTGAAGGGAATTCTGTAGTGCAGGAGTTCTCACATTTTAAAAAACATAATAAAATACTGAAGCGGATTTAGCATGTTTACCAATAAAAAATTATAAAATTTCTCCCAATTGTACAGTTCAAGAATAAACCAACACAAGAGTGATAATTAATACTGATAAAATGAAATGATGCCAGATGCATATCTATTAGTTTCCTGCTGCATCGTTTCTTTCTGAGTCACTATAGTTTTCTAATCTGCTTCGTGTTACAAACTTGCTCCTAACTTTGAAAACTGCATGAAAAATTACTAGGTCTGAGGTTCAGGCACACCCGGATTTCTTTTTTTTTTTTCTTTCCTTTTTTTTTTTTTTTGTATTTTGTATATATATTTTTAAATTTTTACTTTACACAGTAGTGAACAGAAATCACAGTATACAGGCTACTGTGTTTCCATGAAAAGCATGTATTATATAGAACAAACTTCATTACCGATTAGAATTTATTTTCCTTCTAGAAAAGCGATTAGGCTTCATTTGTTTTTTCTTCAGACACTTGCTCACTATCCTCATTCACTTTCTGTTCTAAGCTGCTGGCTTGATTTATGGCGCTGTCATCCTTGATTGGACCATCTCCCGGTTTTGCTTCGTCCCTCTCGTGCTCGGCTTCTTCTACCTCCTCTTCCTCTATTTCTTCCTCCTCCTCTTCCTCCTCCTCCTCCTCCTCTTCCCCCGGTGGTTTTTCACCTTCTTTTTCTCCCTGCAGTTCGTCCATCTCTTTATCCTCCTCTTCGTCTTCCTCTTTTTCGCTGTCTTCGTCCTCCTCCCCCCGTGTCAAGCTCTCTCTCTCATCCGAGTCGGCCTGCGAGGGAGACGCCTGGGCCCCAGCGAGCTCGTTCGGGAGGACCTCGGCTCCTGCCTCCTCCTGCTCCGCACCGTCACGGTCCTCGGCTTCCCTCTTGCAGTAGGAGTAGCGATGATTCATGTGCTGAGAATAAGACCCAGAGTGTGAGAAGCGCTTCCCACATTTGTCACATTGGTAGGGCTTTTCTCCAGAATGCAGTCGCATGTGTTCGATCAGATGATGTTTATGTTTAAATGCCTTTTTACAGATTCCACACTCGTGAGGTCTTTTACCTGCAAAGTAAGAATACAGCTATGAAATAAAAGGATTTAAAAATCATTAATAAGGGTTTCAGGATGTGTGAAGGGTCAGATTAGAGTTTCACTTTTTTTAGAACTGCCAACCTCTCCAGCTACCAACTCTCCATAGTAAGATACAATAGTCTCCAGAACACGATGCCATGCCATGGAGTGTCATTTACATGAGAAGTTTTCATTTATGGCTTTTTAGATACAGATGAGAAGCCCAGGAGGAGCTCCGTGTTACTGAAATGACACAAGTGTTTCATGACCGCAGGAAGACATGAGAAACAGTGACACTGCGATGAGAGAGTTGGCCATGAGTGCAGTGCCTCTCAACCATGTGTGCATGATCACTTCCGCTCTCTGTTACTGCGAGCCTGGGTGGTATCCCCTCTCTTACGCACAGTGTCACTCTGAGTCAGAAGCAACTTGATGGCACCCACAGCAGCTCCTGATTCCAGGAGGCTTTACAGAAGACATTTATCCCCTCCCCCCACAAAGAACATTTTAATTTGCCCTATCTGATACATGCAAAGGGACTTCAAAAGGCTTGTGAAAATGTTTGATTATCTTTTAATTCCATCTGTTGACATAGAGTGGTCCTATGATAATGATTAAGCATGTTGCTGCTGCTGTTGTTGGGTGCTGTTGAGTCAGTGTTGACTCTGAGCGGCTGTGTGCACAGCAGAACACTGCCCCACCCCCCATGCCATCCTGACACCTGTCCTCATGCTTGAGCCCAGATTGCCGTCACTGTGCCAATCCACATTGTCGAGATCTTCTTCCTCTTCTCTGCCGCCCCTCTGCTTCACCACGCTCGTTCTCCTCCTCCAGGGCCTGGTCTCTCCTGACAACGTGTCCGAAGGTGTGCTCTGAGGGCAGCAGTGCCTCTCTCGGGAATGCATTGGGTGGGGAATTGCTGCTGCCCTGGACGTTTACGGACAGACAACAACTTGACCTAAATTAGGATGGTCGAGGTCCAAGTTCACTGTAACCAGGCAGCTAACACTAACAGATGCAGACATGCTTTTTCTTATTTTAAGGGGTAGGACATTTTTATACAGGTAATTTGATATCTTCAAAGACTTAGACAGCTCTTAGCCAAAGGAGAAAGAGAATTTCCTAATTGTGCTCCAAGTCTCAGTATAACTAACCAGAGGGATGTGTTACCAGAGGCTTATTTTGAGAGGTGTGACTTTCTCTACCTAATCAAAGCTTTAGCGCCAACAACCGCTCAATGCCCTTGCAGGTACAGATGTACAAGTTAAAGGGAGGTGGCGGGGAGGGGCATGAGGAAAGAAGTTTTCTGTTCTTTCTCAAAGAGATGAATGAAAATGGCTGATAAGAACATGAACAATCAATATGGGGACTGTGATGAAAATGACTGTGGGTAGGGGTAAGAAGAGGCGGGCGGGGGAGGGGAGTGGTTAATGAGCTCATGAAGAGGCCAACTCCCTGCACAGAAGCCTGGATTGGACAGAAGTGGTGGTGTGCTGGCACTAGCTTTCATGGGCTTAAGGGAGTCTATTGGTAGATTGTTCAGAAATTCTGCCAGCCGCTGGTGTCCCCCTGCAAGCCTGCAGCCTGCCCCAGTGGGCTGGGCTACCACAGGGGCATCTTACAAGCACCGCTAACCGGGGCTTCCCCCAACCTCCAACCTCAGAGGCAGAACTCATGAGGGCAGCACTCTGAGCTCAGATTAGCAGCTTGTTCCTTTATTAAGTCAGGGCCCATCTCTCAGGAACGCCAGCAATGCTCCCCAGTTTGAGGTCTACATTTTTGTTACCATAGCACAAGTAGGCATCCATCTTTGTATTCCTATCTTTATAGTTGTGGCATACATTTCAGTCCTACAGAACATAGACAGGTAGGAGAGCTAGTTGAAAGGAATTTGTCATGATGAGAACAGACAGAACAACAACATTCAAAACCAAACCTAACCAAACAAAGAAATAAAAATGAGACTTAAATACTAGGTAGAAGTGGGGGAAGACAAGGGAAACTGGTCAGATCAGAGGCCCGGACACACCCTCCCCTCCCTCCTGCTCCCACTGCCCCCAAATAGTTACAATTCTGATAGACCAACTTTTGCTTTTAATCTAGAATTTTGTTCAGTGTTATCACACATCACAGGAATATTATAAAAGTGTGCATCAACCTACCTGTGTGTTCATACTTATGTCTTAGTAAGGAGCTACTCTTTTGGAATATCTTATCACACAAATCACAAGCATACATTCCATTTTCTGTCTTCCGCATTTTCTTTTTTGGCGGTGTAGAATCAGAGTCATTCTGATCCTCCACGTTGGACACACCTTCCGAGCTAGTGTCTTGCCTTTCATCCTAAAGGGGAAAGGGCATGAGGGGAATTAATTTAGAATTAAGAGAGAAACGAGATACAGAAACAAAAGAATGGGTGAGTTACTTTGATGTAATCTCTCAACAACATTCTTAAGGCAGTGTACTTAACGTCAAGTAAGACGTCCCAAGGGAGGGATTGTTATCAGACAAAAGTGAGGTTAGTGAAATATAGTCACAATTATAGCAATAATGTATGCTATCAGAAAGAATGGATACCCGAAAGAATGCAAAGTAATAAAATTTACTTGTTTCTGTATGAGAAATGTGGAAAAAATGTTAACTCTATGAGTTTGCTAAATAATCGCAAACTCCTCACTGCATCAGTACTTTTCAATAATATTTGATGTAGCCAAATGATTAAATGAAATGTTAGTGGTTGGTCTTTTAATACTGTGTACAACGTTCTCGCTACTCAGAATTTAGGCGTTCGCGCTGGTGATGTCAAACCATTTTCTCGGGAAATCACAGTAACTGCATTTAAGGAGAAAGAAACAAACACAGCCGGACAGGGCACTGTCGTTCTTTAGTAGTATTTACTCATAGAGATACTTTCGGAGATGATATTCATTTGACTTAATTAAAACTGGGGGTGGGGTGGGGAATGGAGAAGCACTGAGGATAGTGGCATATGGGAGAAGTCTGGGTTTATTCAGGAACCAAAACGTACAACAGGCACACAAAACAGCTTCACCCCAAACCGGTTGAGTTTAAAATCATGCTTTCTAACGAAAGTTAAAGGGAAAAATGTATATATAAATTCACAACCATATCTTCTCATATATATTAACTCCCTCTGGATACTACTTAATGTTTATAGCTCATGAAATGATCCAAAAATTCCCTAGATGAGTTCTTTGTATACTTCTTGTTTAATTAAAGCTGCCTATAAACAGAGGTGTTTATAAAGCACATAAAAAGTGATAGCTAAATCTCCTGGTGTGAAATGCTTGCGGATAAGAACATATTTCCATTTATTAATGATCATAATCAGAGCACAAACCACTTACTAATTTCAGGAATTCAGCTATAAACATAGATCTAATTAGCGAAGTTTCCAATTTGTTCTTGTTCTCAGTCTTGTACAGCCAGGCCTTCAGCTGAGGCTTGGAAATGGCTTTCACAGCAGAACAACACTATACACTTCAGTTGATAAAACTACCCCTTGGGTTAATAAACACTGACAACAGCATGCTACAACCATTCAGCAAACACTGATGTTTCCTTTTACAAATAATTTATAACAACTTCTTTGGCTCAATGGTGTCTGATTTTCATTAGAAAATATTAAAAGAAGCCAAACCTGTACTTTACCCACCAGGTTTGGGATGGGCTTTTACCTGGTTTCCATTTGGCTGAATCACTTTCAAGGGTGGTTCCTGGACTGCAGGGCTGACGGTGGTTGAGTAGGTGTAAGCCACCTGGGGAATCAGAATAGTTTGCTTATTGGCAGCTAGTGCTCGCAAGCACGGAACACTATTCTGGTCAGCAATGGCCACGATTGTGGGTAACTGGGCAGTGACTGTAGGTATAGCAATATTTATGGGGTTGGCACTTGGTGGGATAACATTTACAACTGGTTCCGAGTCTGCAACACAACTGTCCTTCTGCGGCTCCTTTTTTGCACAAGACAAATTCAAGGGTTCTTCCTGGACAGAATAAACACTGTTCTGGTAAACACTGGTGATAGATGACCTTTCCAATAATTCTCCCTGCTGCTTTGGTAGTGAAAGATCAAGAGGTTCTACTTGTGGCTCTTCCTGTGCACCCTCCTCAGCGGTGTATGAGTAACCCTGTGTATTTCTGGACGAGGAGAGGTTTAGTGGTGATGGGGACGGTGTTCTGCCTCTGGAACCATTGATGGCCGATCCCACTGGTAAAGCTGAACATGGAGTCACCTTCGGGGGACTCGGTGGGTTTACTGTGCTGTCTTGGGGTTCATTTGCATTTGTAGATTGAGGCTGATCATTGTTCTTTGCAGGGGTATTAACTTTGCCTGGCTCAGGGGAAGATGGTTCAGAAGACTGCATTGAAATCTGTCCAGCTTGCATCTTTTCAAACCACTTTTTTACTACATCCAGTGGCAGGTTTACTGAATCGGCAATTTTTGAGAGCTCTTCTGCACTTGGTTGTGCATTCAAAGCATAATACGCTTTTAGAAGAGACAAGAGGTTCTTTAAGGGTGGCTGACTGGGAGACAAGTTGCCATCTCCAGTACCTGATGAAACAGAAGGCTCGGGCTTCTCGGCGTCTGGGGCGGGGGGCTCAGGCGGCTGCGCTGCCTGCTTTAGGTCATAGTGCTTTAACTCTGGAAGTGCGTTAGGGTCTCCTGGGCGGTCATCACACAGAAGGCAAGTGCTACCATTGGCTCCTCCGTCAAAGCTTTTGTCCTTTTCTGATTTAACAGTAAGATCTTCTGGTAACTTTTCACTTTTGCAACTGTTTGTGGGGACTGGGTTTTCCTTTTTCAAATTTTGGGGAACAACTTGAAGTTGGCTAGGTTGCTCGAGACTATAGTTGATGATGATTTTGGTTGTTCCATCTTGATCAACCAAAGGAAGACTGATAGCTGAAATAACAGAATGGCCACCTTGTTGTATGGATGAAGCACTGATTGTTTCTTGTTCTTTGGATGCAAGATTGGCTTGATTATTCTCCAAAACTTGCCTTATGACATTACCATCCACTGCCACTTTAAGTACATTCTGAATATCACTTAGATTGATACTTATGGGAGACACCAAACCAACTGTTGGCAGAACAACAGCTTGCACCACACCCTGAGGAGAACTGGTTGCCTGTAATGGGCCACCACCACTAAAAACCCCATTTTGTAAAGGGGTTGAACAGTTGATTCCTGATGCAACCACTATGGGCTTGAATTCATAATCCACAGGTTCAGTTTTAATTTGGCTTACAGAGAGCTGTTCTTGAAGGGGTTTGTTTTCTATCTTTTGCCGTAGCTGTGGTCGTGTGGGACTGCCTGGAGATGCTGACAGAGAGGGTGAGGAACACTGAGATGTCTTGAGTCCTGATCTTGGCCGCCCATTCACAGGCACCAAGCTGATACACTTCTTACTGCTTATGTGAGAGCTATAGGAACCGGAATGGGAAAAACGTTTCTTGCAGTTTGGGCATTCATATGGCTTCTCTCCTAAACAAACAAACATGCAAAAAAAATTATATTCATGAAAGAAATTATTGGATATACATTTAAAATGAATTCACATGCATTTAAATAAGCAAAATCAATTTTAAAAACGGTACATGTGCTTGATAAAGTTAAGTTCAAAACCCATATAAATTACATAAATGCTAGTAGAATCTTAGTCTGGACTACCAAGAGATAATCAATAAAGGAATCTTCTCAACATATGTACTTTTAATACTTACATTTCTGCCAACCTTTGTAACTGCAAATAATTCTCAAATAACAGAACAAAAATAATTACGTCCTAATCTTGCAAATTTTTTTTCTTATCCTTTTCCAGTAAACTACATAATTTCTTTATTTGATGCTAAAAGCCAAGTATAGGGGAAGTTAATATTAGGGGAGACAACAATAAGTCAACTCTAATATAAGATTATATAATTGATAAAATGTCCTATCTCCATAAGCTTTGCTTTAAAGCAGTGGTTCTCAACCTTCCTAATGCCATGACCCTTTAATATAGTTCCTCATGTTGTAGTGACCCCCCCCCCAACCATAAATTTATTTTTGTTGCAACTTCATAATTTTGCTACTGTTATGAATCAGGCGACCCCTGTGAAAGGGTCGTTTGACCCCCAGGTTGAGAACTGTTGCTTTAAACGATCTCTCCTAATGGGAAGAAAATTACATATAAGGCAATGTTATCAACCTCAGCTATAAAGTGAGATTTACTTATCTCTGGAGCTATAAGACAGTGCAAACTATCTCAAAGCTTGAATTTTAGTGATGGTAGAAATGACATTAAAAACAAAATGCAACAGGTTTGGAAATTGTTAGGTCAATAAAACAACTTTAAAGAAATTTCTAGCTTGTGGAGACTTCCTTCAATCAGCTTCTTCAAACTCCTCAGCAGTACTAGGCATTTATTCTCCCTGGTCACTAGAAAAACAATTTTAATGAGTACTAAGCTAACTAGATGAGTTTCACACAAGCCAAATTTCCACTTTCATTTTAATTTATAAGCAGAGATCATTAATTTATAATTTACAGGTTACAGATGTAAAGCTTAAAAAGGGTAGAAGCCTCTGGGGTTCTTTTACTCTTTATCTCCATGGTCTATCATAGCGTAGGTCATAAAGATTCTCATGGTTATGTATTGACTTGTGCACCCCAAATGTGTTTTAATTTGTCACCTCTAAGCTTGTGCTTACAATCCCATTTAGGAATGGTTTGTCTTTGTTATACTAATAAGACAGCATTATTTCAGGTGTGTTTTAAAAATCAATCTCTTTGAAATTTAAGAGATTAAAAATAACAAGCAAAAGCTATAGAAATGGGGAAAGACTGATCCCAAGTCACACAGAGCTCTCCAGGTAACCAGGAAAGAAGCTAAAAAGGAAAGAGATAAGGACATTTCTTCAGAGCAAAGAGAGGGAGAGAGAGAAAGCCGTCTCCAAAAGCCTGTGCTTGCTATTAGAATTTCTAGTCTCCTTAAACGAGAAAATAAATTAATTTGTTATAACCACTCATTTGTGGTACTTCTGTTATAGCAGTACTAGCTAACTAAGGCATAGCGTGGTACCAAGAGTGGGGTGCTGTTCTGATACCTAAAATGTGTATGTATTTTTGTAAGAGTATTTTTTTAAATAATAATTAAAATAATAATTAAAATAAAATAATAATTTAAAAAAATACACTTTCTATTATGAAATGAGTGAAGGCTTACAAAGAAGATTAAGTTTTCTATTCAACAATGCATACACATTTTGCTTCATCTCATTTCTTATAATTCTCACAATGTAATGTCATTAATCCACTTGCATCCTGGGTTTCTAGTTTCCATTACTCCTTTCTTAATCCTTCTGAACTTCGTCCTTGGATCAATGCTGTCCACCCCCCTAAAGACCTATTTATTAATTAGCTGAAGAAGGGGCCATGGGAGTGAGTTCAATTCCAGACCTGCAGGATCACTAAGGGTAATAGTCTCGGGGGTTCCACCAGTCTCAATCTGACAAGTAAGCCTGTTGTTGTTTTGTTAAGGAATTTGCGTTTTCCTCCACATTTTTCTCACGCTCATTCGAGGGCATTCTACAGTGATCCTTTTCAGAGTGGTCAGTTGTCGTAGCTGGGAACCACCCAGCTCTAATCGTCTCAGGATGAGGGTGGTTGATGTTGAGTTCGTGCATTAGTCCAGCGGACTATTCCCATGCCTCTTTCCCATGCTTGTTTAAACTTCTTCCCTTGGACAAGGAGAGACCAACAGCTGTATCTTTCGGTGGCTGATCATGAGCTTTGAAGACCCCGTTGTTAGAATATCGCCGCTTTGTATTATGTTACACCAACTGGCCTTGGTGTCCCCTGAGAGGATGGAGGAGTTATTTAGGGTACCTAAAGCTCATACAGGGTTCCTATGAAGTGGAATTGACTCAGTGACAGTTTGGTTTTTAATAGTTTGGTTTGGTTTTTAATAGTAAAAGCCTAGATTGCCTGAAGAAATTGTTGGCACAATTATTACCATTAAAGGAGATTATAGTGGGGGTTCAGAAAGAAGTGAGGAGATCAACATTTCTTTATCTTCTCAAGAGAATACATAAGCACCAACAACAGAATGTTGTAAGAAATGTGGACTTTAACTGTACTTCTGATGAAGTTGTAACAGAAAATGATGAACATGAGATTGGACAATGGATGAAAGGCAATGCTTTTACAGTATTGGCAAAGAACCTGCCTGAATTCTGTCCAAACATTTGGTGGTAGGTAGAAATTGCAAGTGATAAATTTAAACACTTGGCTAACAATATTTCTTAAGCAAGCTCTTAAGGAGACCATGAGTCTTCTTGCTGTTTACAGTAAAATGACTATAGGTAGATGGACTTAAAAGTGAACTGTACTAAATGAAAACTAAAATATTTGGAAAACTCTGTTATACAAACTAATGGCATTTGTCCTGGAATGTTCATTAAGGCTGTGGCTACACAATCTTTTGCAAAAGTGATTAAATCTGTGACTGATGGATCTAACCAACTACTATAGCATAAAAGCTATCAGCTTAGACTAACAGAGACAAAGAAATAATGAAAGGAATTCGTCTCCTCTTGAAATTCTGTAAGAAGAAAAAAAAGTCAAAAAAGAGCTGCATCTGTTGTCTTATGAGAAAAGAAAAGGACTATTTCTGGAGCAACTCACGAGATCAGCATAACTACTGGAATTAATGTGGAGAGCGGGGTCTTCTTAGCTTCAAAGGGTGAGGCCACTGCCTCCTACATTTCAAAGAATCAGCTCTTCACTAGCTAGATTTTGGCATGTGGAGTGCTGTGAAAATGTGCTGGAGGATGGGGCCAGTAGCCACAGCTGAGGGAGTGGGACTGCCTTGCCCAAGAGGGTGGGGTCTCGCACTGAGATATACTAAGAGAATGGGGCCGCCTTCAACTGAGGAACAGACTCGCTGCCTTAGTTCCAGTGATGCTATAACAAATATCATAAGTAGATGGCTGTAACAAACAGAAACGGGTTCTCTTACAGTTTAGGAGACCAGAGGTCTGAATACTAGATGCCAGCTCTAGGGAAGGCTCCAGGGAAAGGCCTTTGTCTTCTGTCAACTTCTGAGGGCCGGCGTTCTCTGCAGATCTCCATGTAACTCAGTAGCAGTCATTCCCTGGGTCTTGGTTCAGTGAAAAGATTGTAGGTCGAAGAATGCACCTAGCTCCCAGCTCTTCTTTCTTGGTGGTGGTGAGGTCTCTCCGTCTTTGCTTTTCTCTCTCATAAGATAAAAAGTGTGATCCAATCAGGGATGTAACTTGATTTGACTAAATGTGGGGTGTGACTCCTCTTATCCTGGATGGCTGTGACTGATAATACACCCAATACTAAAACTCCTCATTAACACATAAGAGGTTAGGATTTACAGTGCCTAAAATGGAGGCTAATTCTATCGGACCATCAGCAGAGGATAACCACACAATATCACGAATCATGGCTTACCCACGTTGACAAATTTTTTAAGGACACAATTCAATCCATGACATGTCATCATTTGGCACCTCCACCCCATCGCAGTTAAAAACAACAGCAACCCAAGCACACTGCCATCAAGGCAACTTAGACTCATAGTCTACCCTGTAGGATAGAGTAGAACTTGCCTGGTGGGTTTCTGAGACTGTAAAAAAGTTTTTAAAAATTATTTTATTGGGGGCTCTTACAGCTCTTATAACGTTCCATACATCAATTGTATCAAGCATATTTGTACATGTTGCCATCATTTCCAAAACATTTTCTACATGAGCCCTTGGTATAAGCTCCTTTTTTCCCCTTCCTCCCCCATCCTCCCACCCTGGTGAATCTTTGATCAATTACATATTGTTATTATTTCGTATCTTATACTGTCCATTGTCTCCCTTCATCCCATTTCTGTTATTCGTCTGCTTTGGGGTGGGGGTGCTATATATCCTTTCTCCCCCTTCCCCCTCCCTATCCCCCTCTCCTCATGATATGGCTACTCCCACTACTATTCCTGAGGGTTTAATCTGTCCTGAATTCCATGTGTCGAGAGCTCTTATCTGTACAAATGTGTGTTCTCCGTTCTTCAGTCTAGCCAGATTTGTAAGGTAGAGCTGGGTCATGGTAATTGGTGTGGGGAGGAAGCATTCAGGAAATAGAGGATTGATGTATGATTGGTCGGTGTTATACTACACCTTTGGTTGAATCATCCTTTCCTTAAAACCCTTGAGGCAAGGGGGTGGGGTGGATATCCAGTTAGAGACTGTACATTTTTATGGGAGTAGAAAGTCTCATTTTTTTCTTGAAGAATGGCTGGTGGTTCTGAATTGCTGATCTTGTGTTTAACAGCCTAACATGTACCACACTACGCCATCGGGGCTTGCATTCCATCATATCAACCCCAAAGTCTTAAATTATCTCCAAGTCCAAAATCTTGGGGTAGACTTTAGGTGTATTACATCCTGGAACAAAATTCCTCTTCATCTGTGAATCAGTGGTATAGAAAA